AGATTCAGTGTGTTTAGAAAATAAAGTAGGAGATTCATTGTTACATATATAATTGTATCCATGAATAATTCATGAACTAAAAAACTAACGGTTTTATTCTTGCATTACAAAAAGTTTTAATAAAAGAAGTAAAGGATACGATAATTGATATCATATATGAGCCAAAGGTATCCATGTGCCAACATGGAGTTGGAGTTTGATTGATATCTTTGTATAACTAACATGAGCTTAACTTGTCTCCATTACGAATTCTTCATTCAATCATGTATTCGCATCTACAAATATTCTCACTTTATTCTTTTGAAAATATTTGTGAATTGGACATTACACCTTAAAAAAATGCAGATATCTGGCATGATTTATTAAAAAAGTAGCTAGCTAGGCACAGTATGAAGAAAAATTGCAAAACATATTATCTTGTAATACATGGGCTTGTGTTTCTAACTAGTGGATTTTAATGATTTAGGTATACATTTTAATTATCGACAAGACTCACTACGACCATTCCTAAAACGATGAGTGGTGAAATGGAACATATATATATCATGTGAGTATTATGATTTTATATGGTTTTATAGGGGTTACATCGTCCAAGTTAATTGTCTAAAAGCAAAAAAAAAACGTTCTTTTTCTATAAATAAGTATAATTTAGATGCCATATTTGTTACACATTAAATTGATGTTCGAACTAGTGCTTAAACATCATTCAAAGTGTAATCGAGTGGAGTGGTGACTTTAGGTAAATATAATCATTCAAAACATTTTTTAGCACAATATATTATGGAGCTCTTTAATGAAGTTGTTATTGGGATTTTCCAGATGAAAATTCAATATAATTATAGTGGTAGGTTTAAGTTAAACCGTAATGGAATATTCACACCATTTCTGATATGAAAGTGGAACTCTCTACATCAAAGCAGATGATTTGTCTTCCAGCTACCGGAATTAACTTAGGACCTATTCTTCCTCGGATCTGTTGGAATCTTTAGATAGCACGGAACAACCTCATATTCTCCAATCGAACTTTCTCTGCCGAAGAAACGATCAACAAAGCAGTATCTGATGCAAGAGAATGGATTTTGGGACAAGAACCAGACCCAAAGATAGTTTTCCCGACCCTCGTTCGCAATCAAACTGGAGAGGAATCTGAGACATTTCGACTCTTTACCGATGCGGCCTGGCGAAGTGGCTCACAAACAGCAGGAACCTCTTGGATTGCTAGCAAC